CCAACTGCTGTCCCTTGGCTGTTTATAGACATCTCAAATTCTGCAAGTCCCTAACCACCTACCTCCCAGAAAACTCACTTTTCTTCTTGCGTTCCTTCTACCATCCTTCCCTTAGTCAAGCTAGAGAACTAGGACCATTCTCTGCTCCTCATTTTCCCTTACGTTCTCAGTCAGGTTACAAGTTCTGCAAATTCTACTTTCTTAACATCATTTGAAACGATCAGTTCGTCTCACCTCTAGTTCTAGTACACAATCCCACAACTAGACTATGTACTCCTAGATGGTTCCTCTGCCTTTCGTTTTACTCTTGTTGTATCAACCTACAGTTCCTCATTCACCTGGCTTGGGAGGTCGTCCATGGCTCCTCAAACCTGGTGTTAGGTACACATTTTGTTTTCTTTGTAGCTTCTCAACTTCACCATCATAATACTCATCACTCTGTATCATGACTGCCTGCTTCTTTCCCTCTACTGCCCCATTAGACATTAAACCTCATGAGCTCAGGGTTCTGTTCACCATTCAGTCCCCAGGGAATGTTGCATAGAAGGCACTCAACAAATACTTTGTAAGTATTGTTGAATGTTAGTCAATTTTTAAGCAAATATTTAAACTATAAAACAAGTAGAAAGAAATTATACACACATACATTACATAATGACAAAGTCTGCAGTCAGAATACCTGGATTGAAATTCTGGTTCTATCATTGCCTTATTGAATACTTTTGACAAAGCACAAAATTATCTTACTATAGTGTAATCACATAATACTTATCATTATAAAAGTGACAATAACAACCTGAATGTATGGCCTCTAAGTAGTTAAAAGCATTTCCTATGCATTATTTATTTGTTCAATATTCCTTTAGGGTAGGCATGTCTCTTTTCTTCTAGAAAATAATGAAAGAAAATATAACCCTTTCTGTAATGATGTCAAAGCACTGGTCCTGAGATGGTTCCCTGACTTACAGAATGTCATGAAGACGCATGAAGTTGTCTGAAGCTTTATGCTCTCAGGAGAAAAACATGGGCTGTATAAGGCAGTTTGACAACTCCTATACATCCAATTTCTTAAGAATTCGAAATATTTTGGGATAAAAGATGTACACGTTATATCAGCTTATTCCTGGATTCTTTCTCCACATTTTTCTGGAGACACATTTGTTTCTACACCCACTCAAACCATCTGTTTACCAGGCAAGTTTTCTGTGATGTGAAACCAAGTAAAATATATCCATTTCATGTATTTAGAAAAGACTATGACTAATGATACTGTGGGGGAAAAAAATGCCATAGTTAATGAGAACGTGTATACTCTATATGAACAGCAGGGGAAACCTAGCAGTTATAACCACATAAAGCCATGTCATAAACGTAAGCATTAGCAGCAGTACTTTACAAATGAGCTCTCCATAGAACTCCTGCAAGAAGCAGAGAGTCAGTGTCTACCTACGATCTGGAGTAAATCCTGTGAAATGGGGTTTCTTACCACTATCAAATAATGAATATTTTTAAGATGTATGCAATTTAAAATTCTACCTAATATCAATGTTTGACTTATACAAAAATGTGTTAAATAATTTACTATTAATTAAAATAGACTTTTTAGAAGATGTACCATATTTATCATTGTGATTAAACACTCCCCAGGATGCTGCCATATACTCCAAGGGTTACTTTTACCCCAGTTTGAGAAGCAGAGTCCTAGGATATTATACCCCAGTCCATGGAATTTTTGTCAGAATTTAAGAGACCCCTTCTACATATTCCTTTTTACTTCACTACGTGTAAACTCCTGAAATCCCTTTGCCTGGCTCACTAGTGAAATCTTTTTTTTTTTTTTCTGAGTTGGAGTCTCACTCTGTTGCCCAGACTGGAGTGCAGTGGCCACTCCCAGCCACCGCAGCCTGGGCTCCGGCGATCCTTCTGTCTCAGCCTTCCAAGTAGCTGGAACTACAGGCGTGCGCTACCACACCCGGCTCATTTTTTATTTATTGTGGAGATGAGATCTGGCCAAGTTGCCCAGGCGGGTCTTGAACCCGCGGGCTCAGGCAATCCACTCACCTCAGCCTCCCAAGGCGCAGTATTACAGGCTGAGCCACCAAGCCCGGCTACTAGTGAATTCTTTAAAATGTAGTTCTAAGCACCTGACTGTAGCATTTTCACACTTAAGATGAATGAAGAACATAACTCAGCTTCCTTAAAAAGGGATTTTTCTCTTTGAAGAGAAGGATTTCTCTGAGGTAAGAATTATCTACCGCTTCCCTGATTACATCTCATTAAAATTGGAATCCAAACTAAGAAGTTATAAAATTTAAGGTTTTTCTTTTTGGTGAGCATTTTGAAAATATGATCAAACAGAAACCTGACCATGCTCAGATATGAGTGCAAGAAGTGACTTATTTTCAAATTTCAAAACATTTATAAGGCCATAAGACCTACCATGTGTGCTGTTAAAAGGTTTTTACTTTAAAATTATTTTGTTAGATAATCCTGTTTTAAGTGACATTATGATTTATCGCCACTAATCAAGATTCTGATCCCTCATAGACTTCTTGTTTGTATCTGTTTTTGTTCTTTATTACATAAATATGAGATTTATATATAAAATTCTGACTGTGTAATATAGGGCTAATGAGTCACAGATGGAAAGATGCTGGCACATTACCATCTAATAACATTTTAAACTCATATTCCATAGTAAGACAAAAGCAAATTGTACACATCTGTTTTCCAACTTGTAGCATTTCTGAATTTGTGCAGAATATATATTTAAAGAACTTTTATTTAGGGAGAAGAAAAAGTGGACACAGGTCACCTCAAAACTACCCAACCACTTCATAGTCTTATCAGAATGGGTTTAGCAAAAAGGATAGATGCTCTCTGCTTTGTATCCTGTGGAGTTCTAGCTCTAAAGAATGACCATCAAAGGCATTAGGGTAGAGGAACTACCTTTGAATTAAAACCTTAATTATAGTGCCTCTTTTAAAAAGGAAAATATATTCCTAATATGAGGGAAATAGGGGGGAAAATAACTCCAAAACTAACAAAGTTAAAAACTTAGAAACATGTTGACCTTACCTGAAGATATCCTTAAAATAGATTTGGGTGGGAAGAAGGGAAGGGCAGGAAGGAAGCCCACAGAAACTTGAGGCCACTTATTGCTTTAGTAGTTGTTTACTTCATTTGTATGATAAACATATTTGTGTTTAAAAAAATAAAGGAATACAAGGCTCTAGTTTCTAACATGTTGTTAGAAAAGAATCAGAACAAAAGCAAAATTTCTCTCTCAGCTGTACCTAATTGATAATGCCTGTGAGGATGCATTAGTATAAGTTATTGAAGTTCACGTCTCTAAAACTTGTCTCCCCCATTCTCCTTTGTTAAGGAATTCAGAACTGCTTTTCTGCTTTAAGGGGTTGTGTGAACTGTCCAGCTCTTTTGGAAAAGTTATGTGACAGAAGTGATTATTGCAGAGTGTGACCATAAATCCCCCTGGCATGAAATACACATGTTATAATAGACAGATTTCTATCCACCACCTCTGCATGAATTCCTGAAACAAGAGAGACTTGAGATTTATCACATGATTAGAGAAAGAAATTTTGATATGTGGGTGGTAAGACTCTATTTTGTGTGGCATACTGTGTTTATTGTGAAGAATACTTCTGATCTGGCATATTGTATTTATTGTGAAGAGTTCTTCTGATCTGACAGCAAAATTCTGTTCCCTGTTGTTGTTCAAAAAAAGAATTAATACATGTATCGTATGTCCTGAGTTGTAAACAGAATGCCAATAAAGGGAGATTACAATGGTGTTTTCCTAACTACAATGGTGTAGTTATCTTCATTGTGTACTAACATTTTGTAAGCAAGATTCCAGAAATGTTATGTGTAGCAAACTCTACACCGGTGTATACACAGATCCCGTTGTATCTGCCACAAGAGACAACCGTCAATGAGTTCTCAATATCACCATTTCATGCTTTAAGGAATGGTCGGTTCGCTTAGGGACCTCATGTGTCTAATTTTGTTTATGGTGTGTCAAACAAGGCAAGGCTCAGAGCCAGGAAAGAGAGGTGCTAGTTATGTGCTTGTTTTGTTTGTCCACCAGTGAAATGTCTGTGTGACGTTTTGTGTCGTGTTGTTTTGGTGCTGTGCTATGTCCATAGGGCCTGCCAGGCTTCCCCACAGTTGCTGCCCTGCACAGTAACCAGATCCTCACCGTCAAGGTTTGTGGTTGGTGCCCATACCTGCTCAGTCAGAGCCACAATCAGCATAAGAGTGAGCGAGAACTGTCCGATTGGCTTGCAGAGCCCCTTGCTTCCTCTCATCATACACATCAAGTGATTGGGGACTTGGGACCTCACCTGCATCAGTGAGGTCAAATAGACTTTAAGTGGCTGTATCCTGAGCATACTTGAGAGGAAGCTATTGAGTTCAAGCAGGTACACTGAAGAGAGGCTGGCATGGCTATCTAGAACCATGCCACACCTCAGTGGTTTAATTTGCATGCATTCTAATGCTCTGTGATATTTTTCCAGTCAATTAAGTAATTCTAAGTACTCTCTCTGGACTTGAGCATCAATAAAATGGCAGTCAAGTTCACGCCACATTATGCTGGTTGACAAGCCTGGCGGAAATGGAACTGATGCTTTGTCTCTAGACCTTCTGCTCAGAGCACAGTATGTAGAGTAACATCCATTTATCTGTTTCTGGGGAAATACTACCTTAAAAAGACCCAATGTCCACAGCAAACTGCTAACGTACAAAAAAGGTTCATTTCCAGCTGATAATCTGGTCTCACCATCCCATTTTCGGGTTTTATTTCTTTCTAGAAGAGCCAGAGGGTCTAATATCAGACACAAGTGCCAGTTCTATTTTTTAATAGTCATTTTAAGTCTAATATGTATATATTTATTTCTTTCTTGGGGCCTTCTGATGTCTATTCTTCAACTCTCTCATCTCTGAACTTCAACCTTTGACCTCACCTGACTGATCAGATGGTGTTTCCTAAAATCAATCATGGGTTTCTCTCTGCTGATCAGCAGCTCATAAAACGCCGCCTGATTAAGGTAGTGCTTATTCTTGCTGAAGTCTGATTTCTTCTTTGCATTCAGTTATTGCTGTGTGTACTATTGCTTTACCAATTACTTCTTATAGGTGGGAGGTATGGGTGGTGGGAGGGTATGTATTTGGAAATATCCTAGGACAAAAGGATAGTTAGTGTGCTGCATTTGTTTGAAATAAATATGAAAGTACCAAAACAAAAAAGTATAGAGAACTTATCTATTGTTTTCTTAATTAAAGAAACAAAGCTTAAATTGTAACCAGTATCAGATTCAGTTTCTAAGCTCTCTAGCTTTGGTAATTTAGAAGTTATTATGCACAATGATGGGAGCCTTGTGTGTTTAATTATATAGGGTATGAAAAAGTGAACACTTTTGTCTAACAATAAATGCAGTCATTTTATTAAATAAGGTGAATATAGCCAATGCAGCATTGTCGTGGATTAAGTTATGCAAAAGTTTCATACCAGCTCTGCATACAGTGATAACACAGACACTATTTCCAAGAGCTGTGAGTGCTGGTTTCTGAGCTGCTTTGATTTTAACAGCATCTACAGTCAGGCACCCAACATGAATATTTATTTGCTCCCTGCTGGCAGGCAAATTGCCTACAGGCTTCCTGTTTCTGGTTGTTCTGGTTCTTTTCCTAGTGTGAATGTGGATTAGATAATACAAATTTAAAGTGTTGAAAAGAAGACCTGGGTCTTTATTTTGCATGGTTATTGTTGACCTGTTCCCTTCTCCACCGCAGGGTGACCAAGGACAGGCAGGGCCTCCAGGACCTCCAGGCCCTCCAGGCCCTAGAGGACCACCTGGGGACACAGGGAAAGACGGCCCCCGCGGAATGCCTGGAGTTCCCGTGAGTTGCTTTTTGGTTGGGTTGTTCTCACAGGTTTTGTTTTGTGATAAGGGTTGAGAACTAGGATAGAGTAGGGTGGTAAAGGTCAGGGTGTCAAGTGAGTGACATGAGTTGAGAGAAGTGGGCTGGTGGGAAAGTCCCCAGCAGAGAGAGGCACTCCCACCGCCTTCTGCTTTATGGTTCAATACATCGTGAACCCATGCAAACCACAAAGAGAGACCTGGAGACAGCAACTAAACTGATTTCAAGTAAGCCTCAAGAAGTTTGTGATTGGAGATGCCCGATCTCGTGTGTGTCCTGTCTACCACAGTGTGCAGAAGTGCCTTTGATTTATATGGGAGATTTGTTTGGGAAATCATGCAGTGGCACAATCCTAGCTTGCTGTATCCTCGAACTCCTGAGCTCAGGTGATCCTCCTGCTTCTGCCTCCAGAGTAGCAGGGACTATACACATGTACCACTGCACCCAACTAAAAAAAGATTTCATAAAAACAAAATGGAAAATATATTTTGAAAGGCCAGGAACATGTTACATATATTGATATCATAAGCATAATTTTTCCAAAAAAATATTTTTAGCCAATGACTGTCATTATAATATGACAGTAAAACATGATAAATCAATTCCATATCATCTAAGTATTAGAAAATGATGATAGGGGGGTGACAGAGCACAATTTTCTCTCCATCAATTTTAATAAAACATGTTACTTCTGTCACCATTAATCCAGGAAGGCTAAAATTTAAAATCAATTTCTGCTACTTTTATTGTTTAAGTCTTACACTAACAGCAATTGTCTCTCTGTCCTTTGTATGAAAGTTCCAAGTTCTCATAAAGAAAATACCATGTCATCATCTTTATGTCATCATAAAGAAGACATAATAGACTAATTTTATTAAATTCTAAGATGCTTATAAAATTCATTTGCAGAAAGCAATTAGCTCTCTTTTAATTTTGCTGCATTCCTCTATTTAACCTGAACAATGTACTTGACATTCACATGCCCCGGTGGGTATTGGGAAAAAGAAATAATAAATTAAAGGATTTTTAAAATGTTCATAGCATTATTAAAATTATCACTATTCTTTTTTAAGGGCGAACCAGGCAAACCAGGAGAACAAGGCTTAATGGCAAGTATCTCAATTTATCTTTTCCTATATGAAAAATAATGGGAGGCCAGGTTATGAAAAACTATAGTCAAGATTATGTGTGACTATAATAAAAAAAAGTGAAGATTAGTAAAGGCTAAAAGTAATATGGCCTATATGCTTGCTACATATTGAGGGTCATAAAACTACTCCTCTACAGAGCTGGTGTGGGAGAAAAAAAGAAGATTCCAGTTGTGGGGAGTGACAGATGCTGAAGAAGCTCAAAGGAGAGAATTTAATTTAAGCAACTCTCTTCTAAGAGTTTAAAATTAGGAATATGCCTATTAACTGAAATAGAAATACATTTTCAAAAGGATCAGGCATGATTAATTGTGCATTAGCATAGCAAACCTTGAGCAGCCAAGTTTTTCTTTTTTGAAGGACTTCACCCTGAGAGAAGCATTTGTGCCTTTTGGATTATTGTCATTAAAAAAAGGTCATGAGGCCGGCCTGTAGATCACACCTATAATCCCAGCACTTTGGGAGGCCGAGGTGAGAGGATTGCCTGAGCCCAGGGGTTTCAGACCAGCCTGAACAACTTGGAGACCTCATCTCTACAATAAATCAAAAAATTAGTTGGGCGTGGTGGTGCCTATAGTTCCAGCTACTTGTAAGGTTGAGGCAGAAAGATCACCCGAGCCCAGCAGGTGGAGGCTGCGGTGGCTGTGAGCTTGCCACTGCACTCCAGCATGGGTGAGAGAGTGAGACTCCAACTCAAAAAAGGGAAAAAAAGAAAAGGTCGTGAAATGATTCCACATGGGCTCACTCATAGACACCCAGGTCCCAGTTGTCATGATGTGTTTATCGTTGGCCAGTAGAAGAGATATTTGGTCAGCTTGGTGAGCCCTGAAGAGTGGGATTCCTTTCAGCCTACCTCTTTCTCTCTGTCTCCTGAGCAGCCTGTCCAACCTACATTATGATATGAACACAATTGGGAAGCACAGGGCAATTCTCTCATAAGCCAGGACAGCTCGCATTCATCCTGGATGCAACACGAGTGGGTCCCAGCACTGCCAGGGAACTGGCAGGTGATCACAACAAGCCTGACAATGTCCATTCTGTGTAATGTTTGACATGCAGCATGCAGGTACTCAGGGCATACAAGTTCTTTTTAAAAAATAGTTAGCTAGGTCCTAGTAAAACTATGCACAGGAACACAGCAGTTGGTCAGGAATCAACAGTGGATCAGGAATGAATGCATGAAAGGATGAGAGATGGAAGGCTTCTTCCTGCATGGGATGCCTTCAGCAGCTCTTCTGGGGAGAAACTCCCCTGGGAGGCTAGCTGTAGGTGAGGCGGCCTTTCCAGGTGCCTTGGTGAAATGAAAGCACCCTAGGACCAAATCTAACCCACTGCCTGAAAATTCTCTTCCTGACCTATAATATCAAGATATATATTTGAAAATGAAAATTTGTTGGTACTATAGTGGGGTTTTTTAAAGAATAAAATAATTTTACGCAGCAATTAAAATATTTCTCAGGTCATGCGCTGTGGCTCATGCTTATAACACTTTGGGAGACCGAGGCAAAATAATTGCTTGAGCCTAAAAGTTGAAGACCAGCCTGGGAAACATAGCAAGACCTAGTTTCTAAAAAAAATTAAACAAATTAACCAGGTGTGGTGGTGTTTGCCTGTAGTCCTAGCTACTTGGGAGGCTGATGCAGAAGGATCGCCTGAGCCCAGGCAGTCGAGGCTACAGTGAGTGGAGATCATGCCAACTTCTCTCCAGCCTGGGTGATGAAGTGAGATTCCAACTCAAAAATATATATGTATATATATATATTTTTTCATCAACAGTAACGGCATAGAATTTCAACTCTCAGTGACAGGGCGTCATAGAGTATAAAGAATTCTTGGGAAACTACAATATAAATTTTGAAATTGCTTTAGGCAATTTAATGTGCATGTAATTTTTATCCTGGAAAATGGTCAAAACATATTCTTCCCATACATTCTTGCATTGAAAGCTACTTGGGATTCCAGGAGCCCTTGTTTGTCCCCAGGTTTTTATCATTGGTATTAGCATTGACTTTCTTCCCTGATGCCCAACGAAACACCTAATAACCAATGCTCTAAAGTCATTTGAATATTTTTTTTGAAATATAGTCTTATCTTCCTTGAATTTATATATTCCCTCTAGGATGTGCTATGTGAATAACAATATAATCCAATTCCCCCACAATTCCTAGTTTGATATCATTAAATATAAATGTTTGACCTAGTTCTAAAGGAATCATGTTGTTATTTTGGTGTGCTCCCATTTCCCATTTCATATAGAAACTTTCTTAGATAAAGATAATATTGGATTTTTTTCTATAAACCTTTTCTTTTTTTAAGCTCTTCAGATTTAGTTTGTGTTTTTATTTTTAAAAGACAGCTAAGAAACAACTGAAATCACAAATGTTCTAAGGATATGTATGAACTCAAGGTGCATTTAAATGTTACCTTACAAATTCCTGTTTTGAATGATGTAAAATCCTTTTCAAAGAGAAAACTTCTATAATTATGCAAAGAAAAGTCAACAAACCATAGAGTATATCTCACTGAATTTTCACAAAGTGAGCATAACTATGTACAAACCAGATCAAGAACCAGAATGCTATCATAAGTCCTCCCTTACTAACAGTCACCATCCCAGAGGTAACCACCATCCTGATTTCTGTCACCATAGATTAGTTTTGCCTGCATTTGAATTTTAACTTAATTGAACCCTATGGCATGTACACCTTTTTGTCTGGCTTCTTTTATTTAACATTATATTTGTGAGATCATCCACCTCTGTTTTAATAGCTTTCGCAACTTGTTTTAAAAAAAAATAGAAGGAAGAACCTTATTTCCTTGACCACCCCGTTAAAACTACATCACTCAGATAGCAGTAAATGAATGTATGTCTGTCTGACCTTGGACAAGTCACTTAACCTTTCAATTTCTCATTTACAAAGAAAGAATAATATCCTCTCTGACGGCCTTAAAAGGTTGCGAAAGACAAACGTAATAAATTAGGGGAGAGCACTTTAAAATATATAATGAATAACTATATGAGTATGTTATTATTATCACTCAATTGTTCTCTCTAGAGTAAATTACAGATGAGCATGGATTTATATAACAGATGTATTCTTGTAAAGTTTTGTATCAATCAGATTTTCTTAAGTCAACATATTTTGTATGTGCTGAGGAATTTTGCTGTTTAAAGCAATCCTGTTCAGTCTTTTTGTAAAGCAATATAATCCTCTAATTCCTCTCCCTAGCAAAATGAAGTTCCATATTTTTGATTGTTTAACACGAAACATTTCTCCAACCTAAAAATCTATCATTTAAAAAAATATTCTAACAACTTGTGTCTATTAATTTGAATAACACCTGTATATTTTAACCCTTCTCAAAGAAAGAAGAAGACAGTGGGAATATAATTGCAATTTTCATGAAGAAAAAAATTTCCTTAGAAATTTAAAATTTTTCTTTCAAATATTATGTGTGTGTATGTGTTTTAACTTGAAGGCTGGTAGGGAGAAAAGTACATTGTACCAATAGTTCTGGTTTTGGAGTTACAATAGGCTGTGATCCTTTTTACTGATCTTATTCTACCTATCTCACTGGGTTATGGTGAAAAGCAAATGAAATAATATAAAGTATTTTATGAACTACAACGAGTTCCATAAATGAGAAGTATTACTGTTAAAACAAGTGTACAGTGATATAACTTGGCAGGCAAAAAGACTTTTCTATGAAATGTAATATCTAAGAGCATTTGAATAGTAGCTATCAATAACAGCTAGTAATTAATTACAGCGTATCAAATACTGCAATTGAGAGTGCAATTTAGGGCTTTTGTCCTGTTTGTGGTTGTTATTGTTTTAGCCTTCCTCTCCTATGTATTCCATCATCTTACATTATTCATTTTCACAACATTCTTACCCAACTGTTAAAAAAAAGAAAATGTAATAAACGTCATGGAAACCCTTCCACGTTATGGAAACCCCACAACACTTGTTTTGTGTCAGGGAGGATTGCTTGCTTAAAGGAGGATCTCAAGAGGCATTGGAGAGTTGTTATAAATTTCGAATGTCTCTGATGATGAAATGAAGAAGCTAGAAACAATCTAAAATTAGCTCTTACAAAACTGTTTATGAGTGTGTTGGGGAGGGAATTAGTTTTCCTAATCCAGGATGTATAGTTTTTATTGCAAAAATAATCATGTAAAGATTAACAGCATCTATGATAGAATAAAAAAGGAAACCTGCAGCTCATGCAGTTCCACATTTACTTAATCCTGCTGAGCATCTATTCTGTTAACATGACCTTTGGGTTTTCCAAGAAGTTCAGGATGAGATTTGAAAGGACAGAATCTTAAGCTTGAATAAATTTGATGCCAAAAAATAAGGAGAGAGCTGCTCGAGAATAAAGCCAAGGACTGACCACAATTGGAAGTGATCAAGTTCTGAATCCTAGCACAAATGATCTTTATCTTTCAGTTCTTCAGAAATGTGTATAGTTGTCAAAATAGTATTTTTGAAAGTATCTTTTATTTTGATAGTCTTACTATTTTTTCTTTGACAAATATAGAAGTTCTCAAAGCATAAAAGATAAATGGTATTTTAAAAAATATACCAAACAGTTCCAGTTTTATGGATATTATTTTTTGGTTCAAAGTATTTATATCTAAGGTTTCATAAACCAAATCACTTCCTCAATTCTGAAACTCTTTATTCCTTCCTTTCCCTGCCCCTAAATATATAAAACTCTATAACATGTCTATTCATCTCTTTCAGAATTATAAGGATATGTTAAATATTTTTCATTGGACCCTGGTAGTATCTGAGAATTCAAAACTCAGAAAAAGCTTGCTGTTATTGTCCCTTAAAGTGAAATTTGGGCTTGTGTCCAAAGAGTCTATAGATAATTTTAGTTCATTTTAATTTTGCCTGCAAACATATTTTTTTTTTTTTTTGAGTTGGAGTCTCACTCTGTCACCCAGACTG